TGGACTTGATGATCTTAAAGGTCTTTTCCAACCAAAGCAATTCTGTGATTCTATGATTCTACATTCTGGCACGGAGCTGTGCTGTACTCAGGGATCTCTGCAGACACAGCTCTGTCACGTGGACATGTCCCATTCTTTGGTGACGGGAGCAATGACACTTCCCTCTGGGGATGACACTGCACTGCAGACCCCATAGAGAAGTTTCCACAGCTTCTACGTCCCTGATTCAACAAAGACTCCAAGCACCTAAGTTTTCGTTGACATTTTTGCAAATATTAATACTATTTTGCAAATATTAAGCTTAGTGGGATATTGGGAGACTTAACTCGAGTGAGGCATTGAGTTGAATCTGAGCTTTTTGTATCTAAAAGAGTCATACACAGCTCTAAAATCATTGTGGTCCTTTTCTAAAAGCAAACACAGACAATGTGAAACACAGGTAAGAGCCAACCCTCCTCCCCCTTTGAGACCAGAAGGTTTATGAAACGAGAGTTTCTCATCAGAGACAAATAAAAGAGCACAATGCAGGTGCTTATCATTGTCTCCTTGCTGACAGATATACTTGAAATGGAAAATAATAACAAAAAATTGGAGGGCCTGACTCCCCGCACTGCATGAGCCATGAAAAGAGCTTTTCATGACAGGACCCACGGTTCTCAAACGGAGCATGTTTTACCCAGTATCAGTTTCTAGTGTAAAGCAGGGGTGTCCCCTACCTCACGTTTCAGTGGCAAAGGAGGAAAGCCTGAACGGGAGGTGCGTAAGGTGATGCTGTGGCTGCGCTGCTTACGGTCCCAGAGAGGCTTAGGTCTCCTAGCACACTGCAGATTTTAGAGTCCCTTCACCTGCCTGTGGCCAGAGCTTGCCGATAGTCAAATCACTGAGCTGCTCTCACTGCCCTGTTACATTTACGTGAGAGAAAAGAGTACTTCTGGCCCTTTTAGATTTTATTAGAAAAGCTTTAATGCAGCCTAGTGTCATACAAAGTGCTGAAAGTGTATAGATGTGGAGCAGTCTGAATATTAACTAGCTTTTAGAAACTGCACACTTGCTGTGTTAAAAGGTTAAAGTAATTTGGAGCGATGCCCAATTTGTTGTTGTAAGTCCGGTCGCGTTCAGTGTACTGAACTATCACAATTATGGATGCACAAATAACGCGACCCACCTTCAGTCTAGTCGCGTTCCGTGAACTACCACGGCCACACTCAAAGAGTTTGGTCGTGTTCAATGAGAATTATCACAGCTAAATTAATGAACAATGCAGTTTATTAAAGCAACAGATACACAGGTTCTTTGCGTTGCCAGTGACAAATTCACTGTCTGCAAAGCATGTGCAAATACCAAGAGTATGAGTAACCACCTGGCTACAAACACATTAAAAGATATAAAGCAACTCTATAGAGATTTCTAAGTTTCCTGGGGAGGCACTTGGTATTACCAAGTGTTTGAATCTTACCCAAAGGCGTCCGGATGGGTGGGAAGAGAGGCTCAGCCCGTCGACTGATCCCAGAGTTCAGAGTGGTACATGATGATGGTATCTTCCCTAACATCCTCTCTCTCTTAAGCTATATTATATTATTTTTTACCTTTCAGGTGGAGCTTGAGTGTCTCTAGTCAGGCATGCCTTTGTTATGACTGGTATAAGGTTTTCTCGCTTCACTTTTAAAGGTATAAACTAGAAAAATTCAAAGCATAAGCTCAGTGAGGGGTGGTCGCACCTTGGAGGTGGGCAGCTTTTGGCACAGAGGTGTGTTTTGATATTATAATGATATTATAGTGAGCAAAGTTTACCAAAGGACAACATTTTGTCAAAAAACATGACAGAATGTTGGCCCAGGGCAACAAATATGCAGCTTATCGGTTCTGTGGTACCTTCAAGTTCCCATATTATCGCAGAGCCTGGCCGCGGTGTTTCCACTCCGCTCCACCCTCCATGCAGTTCCTCTTACAGTCAGCACACCAAGCTCCCCTGGTGTTGCCAACATCTCAGGTTGCAGGCCTAGGGAACTTCTGTGGAATGGATTCCTTGCATGTCATCCATGCTCCACCCTGGAAGCTTCTTCAATGCTGTACCTTTCCCTAAAATGTGAATATAAGTTTAATTTCTAAGTCACCTCTGGCAATTATTCCACAACACTTACCCTGATATTACTGGATAATTATGGAAAGTTGGCAATTATTTCCTGCCTTTTGACTCTACGGGTCACTAGCTGTCATTACGTGCTGGTTTCCTGCAAAGCAACTCAGTGGCGAGAAACATGTTTCCAAAACACAAAAATCTGGCTATGAAATCGCACTGTGAAGCACTCAGCTCATGGGATCCTACAAGCAGGTGTTTTCTCATCTCTTGGTCACCTGAAGTTGAAGTGGGCACTTGGTGGTGTCCCTTATACAGATGTTCCCTTTGCAGTCAGATCTGCTATATTGCAACATGGCAGTTGCAATATCCATTGCAAAAGAGCATCTCCTTCATTTTGAGACGTTCATCAGTAACTATGCCAATGAAAATTTGTCATACCAATAGTCCAAAGATGCATGTAGATATATATAGCTATATAAGCATAGAATCATAGAATCATCTAGGTTGGAAAAGACCTTTAAGATCATCAAGTCCAACCGTTAACCTAACCCTGCCATCCCACCACTAAACCATGTCCCTAAGCCCCTTGAATTATGAATCAAATTTATTCTTGGTGACACCACATTTCTGAGTATAGACCTTGGGAAGGGTGTGATCCTGTTTGCTGTTACTGTGATGCATTTCTCTCATGATACTTTTATCATAGAATCATAGAACCGTTTAGGTTGGAAAAGACCCTTAAGAGCATCAAGTCCAACCAGCACTGCCAAGTCCATCACTAAGCCATGTCCCTAAGCACCACATCTACATGTATTTAATACCTCCAGGGATGGGGACTCCACCACTTCCCTGGGCAGTCCCTTCCAGTGTTTGACAACTTTTTCAGTGAAGACACTTTTCCTAATGTCCAACCTAAACCTGCCCTGGCGCAACTTGAGGCCATTTCCCCTCGTCCTAGCACTTGTTACCTGGCAGAAGAGGCCGACCCCCACCTCACTACCCCCTCCTGTCAGGCAGCTGTAGAGGGCGATAAGGTCTCCCCTCAGTCTCCTCTTCTCCAGGCTGAATACCCCCAGTTCCCTCGGACGCTCCCCATCAGCCTTGTGCTCCAGACCCCTCACCAGCTTTGTTGCTCTCCTCTGGACATGTTCCAGTGCCTCAATGTCCTTCTTGTAGTGAGGGCCCAAAACTGAACACAGTATTCGAGGTGCGGCCTCACCAGCACTGAGTACAGGGGCACGATCACTGCCCTGCTCCTGCTGGCCACACTATTTCTGATACAGGCCAGGATGCCGTTGGCCTTCTCGGCCACCTGGGCACACTGCTGGCTCATATTCAGCCAGCTGTCGACCAGTACCCCCAGGTCCTTTTACGCCAGGCAGCTTTCCAGCCACTCTTCCCCACATCTGTAGTGTTGCATGGGGTTGTTGTGACCCAAGGGTAGGACCAAACACTTAGCCACAGTTGAGGTTCAGCTTTATCTAGACTCTCCAGATACATTGTCCTGGTAAAAGATGTATATATTGTCCTATGTGGTGGAAATATTTGTATCCATTTTTAATTACCCTTTAACTTGCAGGTATGGCATGAATTGTCTGATCCAGTTTGAAGATTTTGCCAACGCTAACGCTTTTCGTCTCCTCAATAAATACCGCAACAAATACTGTACATTCAACGATGATATTCAGGGTAAGTACTGTTAGGAAAACGCAGGTTTAACCTTCGCCTTGTCATGAGGAAAGGTGATTAAGATCACAAGACTGTTTATTATACAATAGTCAGATGTGTGATAAATTTCAGAGTTTACACATAAGCATTTAAAAATATAAACAAAAGCACAGCAGTCTAAGTTGAAAATCGAGTCTCCTTGTTTTTAGGAATTTAGCTGTTCACTGTAGAAATGTTGCTCGAGGGAGAATATGGATCATGTGCTCTAACTTATTAAGGTAATTTGGAGAGTTCCATTCATTTTCTATAATTTAGCTAAAGCGATGATGATGTTTTAACAGTTACACAAGGCTTTCAGTTTCCATGAGCCAGGTGGTCATTAGCTGACCCTGGCATTGTCCCACTGTTGTTATCTGCCTTATTACGTGCACAAACAAAAGGTAAACCAGCTTCTTTCCTCCCCATGGATGCTAGCTCCAGGGTTGTCTGAGAACAGATATATTCTCCCCTAGAGTGGTTAACATAACCCTTCCAGCGCCAAAGCTGGGTTTATAACCAGCACATCTCCCAGGCCCTGTGAGGCTCAGCAGTCAGCAGAATTGCTCAAGTGCCCCGAGGGGTGCAAGCTGCATATTGGTGGCATCCTGGTCTGGTGCTGACTTGGCTCTAAACTGTTTGCCCATCCGACAGGGACGGGATCTTCCCAAGTGATTATAAATAACCAGTTCTTCTCCCATGAGTCCCTTCATCTTTTATCCTTTTGTCTATTCCTGCTCGCAACATGCAGAAACTTCCAAGGTTTGTTGATTTAATTATTTGCAGTCAGCTGGGCTTATCCTCACTTGTACTTGAAAAAGACTGGAAGAAATGCCAGTGTCATTTTTCACACAATGCTGGTTCTTTTCTGAGCACTTTCTAGCACTATTTCTGCACCTGCTACCTGTCTAGCAATATTTGGCGGGGTGTGTAACAGCTCGTTCATATCTCATGGCACAAGAGGGAGTAAGACCCTGGATTGTGGGAATACGGTTGGTGTGATGGGACGCACGGTCCTGCTCAAAGACACTTTCATTAAGAGAGTTTAGAAGCAGCAGAGGTTAAGGCATTTCAGAGAAGGTGAGACAGGTACTCCTGTACAAGAAGACTCATTAGGTGTTCTTGCCACCCATAAAAACTTTCAGTGGAGAGAGGAGCACAGAAGAGAGCACAGGAGATACATTTTTTAACTGAAGTCTTGAATGGAGGAACCAAGAACTCAAAATTTTCCAGAGATGAAGCCCATAATAAGAAGCCAATGATGTAAAGGTTTGTTTTGGATTAGTTGCTCTCTCTGCAAGTGGAAGTGGACTCAACAGTTGAAAGGAAAAGAGGCCAGGTGACGTGGCAGATTTGTGGACCTGGATATAGTTTTTCTTGGGGGAACTAGAATGAATTGGAAAGGTCTCTTGGCGAGTTGGAATGGTTTCTTCGACTGGCAGAGAGAAGAAAAAGAGGATATTAAAGCAAAAGTGAAGATTCTGAGTGGGAAGCAGGAGGCTGTATTTTTTATCATTTCTTTTTGGCCACAGGTCATAGCTGAATGCCTCAGACAGTTCCTGGAAATTACTCCCCCAGAGGGGCAAACCACATCCAGGAGGATGCTGTAAAACAGCATTGCCATAAAATGGACCTTGTCTGCTTCTCCCCAGTTAGACGTGTGTCACGGTGCATGGGAGATGTCACGTCCCCTGGAAATTCTCCAGAGTCCCACCCATTAAAACAGTAGGATTTTACCTCTTACTAGTAAAACTTTATGTTCTCAAATAAAGCATCTAGCTGGCACGGGTTTCACAGTAGTAGATAAGGAAAGAAATCCTGCTGATCTTTTGCACAGACAAGCGATGAGTCAAGGGAAGCAAGCCGCTGTTTCAGGCTTTTTACTGTTGCTGTCAGAAAGAAAAAGGGATTACAAGCCAGGGTTGTAGTCAGGAATGGGTTTCGAGGAAGCTTTGGGAAGCTGAAGTAACTTGGATCTGCTTGGTTAGCTCTGTCTTGGAGTCATGTCAGAGATTAATGGAGTTGAAGCTGGGATGATTCGTCTGATTTATCCACCCTGATATACCCCTCTGTATCCCCAGATGATAGCAGAAAGGGAGGAAGTGCCATTTTCTCACTTTCACCCTCCTGTTCTTTGGCTTTGCCTCAGGCTCTCTCTTTTCTACCATGTTGGTGTTTCTTGAATCGCCTACTTAAAAAAGTGGGAGAGTTCAATGCAAATTGTGTTTTAAATTATTAACAAGAATCATACAAAGCCTTGTTTAAGCAGTTAACATGTTACTCAAGTCAGGCAGGAGCAGACCTCCTGAAGCCAGAATTATCCCAGCTTCGAAGCCAGCATTGTTTTAAGTATATGGATTTAAAAATACATCTTGGGCACAAACAGTGCAAGTTGGATCAGGCCTGAGCTATACTGATTTAAACTCATTTGCCCGTTGGTTAGTGGGACTCTGATTGCAGTGTGCCTACACATACACACACAGATGAGGTGTGGGAAGAAAGTATAAATTGCTCCACTTTATCTCCCTCGGGCTTCCTTCTTGCTGCCCCAGGGCTACACAAACAGAAAGCAATTTAAAATATTAACGCTTAGGTTTTTCTTTTTTTTTTTTGTGTGTGTGTTACACACATTACCGTATTGCCAAATCCATCCTAACCCCACAGAATTAAAATGACTCAGACCCCGGCCAGTTCGAGCCAGCCTGCTGGTGCCGAGTGGGACGCCTGCCAGGTACCACAAACCAGGACGAGGTGATTGCTCTTGTTCTGAAAGCCATTAGTGTGGGAGCTAACGGGAGCTGGCTCCCAGTGCCCGCGCGTGGGAGCTCCCCATGAAGGGAGTGCTTCTCCTTCCTCTGTGGGGCTGATGACATCAGGCCTTTCCCAGCTCTGGCTGGGTTCATGCAAGGGGCAACAGCTTCAATTTCAGCTCTGCAGGAGAAAATGGATTGTCACTTCTTCCTTTTTCCCAGTAAAGTACCAGGGCAGGCGATGGAGCACATCTAAAATTGGAGGAGCATGAGAATGCTTTAGAACCTCCTCTTTCTCTTCCTGCTGTAACTTTGCTCCACTTAACGGTGCACAGTGATAAAGAAAAAGTAGACAACAGAAAAGTCTTAAAAAGGTGCCAAGTCTTGTGAATCTGTGAGGCAGGCATCTCTGGCTTCCTGCTTCATACAAGAAAATATATCAAATCATTGAAGAGGATAGTTTGGAAGGGACCTCTGGACATCACCCAGCCCTCACTCAAATAAAAGGTGATTTCAAAGTTAGTTCCAACTTTGACATTAGATCAGGTTCCTCGGAGCCTTGTCCAGCCGAATAATTTTCAATATCTGTAAGGATGGATATTTGCAACCTTTTAACGCTACCTATTCCAAAGTTTTCTCATCTTCCTTGTACATCTTCCCCCTAATATCTAATTGGAATTTCCCTAGATGCAACTTGTGTTTATTGCTCCTCGTCCTTTTGCTGTGCATCTCTGAGAAGAATCTGGCTTCTTTACAAACAGTAAGTAGTTGTAGACAGAAATTAGATGCCCTCTTAGCTTTCTACAGCCTAATCAAACCCAGGTCTCTCAGTCCTCCTTGCACACCCTGGTCATGTCGATGGCTCTCCTCTGGACTTGCTCTAGTTTGACGATATATTCCTTGTGCTGAGAGCCCCGAACTGGAGATGCTAGCCTAGATAAAACCTCAAAAGTGCTGAAATAGAAAGAAATGATTGCTTTCCTTGACCTGCTGCCTAGACTTCTGTTGGCACAGTCTAGCAGGCTGTTGGCCTTCTGTGCCACAAGGGCGCATTGCTGGCTCATCTTCAACTTGTTGTCCACCATTACCCCCAAGTCCTCTTCTGCAAAGCCGCTTTTCAGCCATCAACCCCTACCATGTGCTGTTACATGAGGTTATTCCATCTTCCCAGGTGCAGGACTCTGCATTTGCCTTTGCTGACCTTTATGAGGTTTCCCTGAGCCCATTTCTCCAGCCTGCTGAGATCCCTGTGAGTGACAGTCATCAATCACTATCCCCAATTTGTAATCATCCATGAACTCTGTCTTATCATCTAGGTTGTTAATAGAACATAAACAGTGCTGGCCTCTTTGTACCACTTTGTGCCACTGACCTCAAGCCTTTGAGCCAAGCATCCCAGCCACTCTTTCACCCACCCGATAGTCCCCTTGTTCAGTCTGTATCTCTCCAGTTTGGCTACAAGGATGTTTTGGGAGATTGTTTCAAAGGTCTCATGCAGGTCAAAGGAAGCAACACCCACTCCCCTCTCCTCCTCCACATAGCTGGTTGTCTCATCATAGAAGGCAGCCAGGTTGGTCAGGCATGATTTGCCTTGGGAAATCCATGCTGTTCTCAATCACCTTCATGTTCGTAGACATGCCTTCCAGGAAGATTTGCTTTGTAATCCCCAAGTACTGAGGCTAGGTTGACTGAGCTAAAATTCCCTAGATCTTTCTTCTGGTGCTTCTTGAAGATGGGTGTGACATTTGTCTTTTTTCAGGCTTTGGGAATCTCCCCAATTACCAAAACCTTTCAGAGAACAACTTTATAATGTCATTGGCCACATACATCAGCATCCTCAGATGCATCTCATCAGATTGCGTGGACTTTGTCTGTTGAATAATCCCCGCTAAATAGGCAGGAGTCCATAGAAACCCTGTTAATTTGCACACCTGAGGTTCTCAGCACAGGACCAGGGCTCTGTGTGCATGTGCCTCACTGTCTTTGTGGTAAAGAGCCTAATTCTGACACAGCCTTCAAAGACATGCACTGAATACTCACAAGAATCAGCAGGAGTTTGTGCCTAGGCTAAGCAGAAATGGGACTGAACCCACAGATCAACCTGTGAACTGAGTTGGAATGCTTGGCTGGCTGAACCGAAATCTTTATGCTCCAACAGAGACCCTTCAGTGTCATTATTCAGTTACCTGATCAGACAAAACAAAAACATAATTCACCACGAGAGTGGTTGAACAC